CGGGACGAAACAGCTGTCCAGTACTCCTAAGTTTTTCAATGGTTCTCTAACTGATGTCAGCTCACGATGAAATCCTCCATCCAATTATGTATATAAGTAAATTTATATACACAGAATATTCTAGAATAGCCGTCATTAACAATATTAGTGTTTTTAAATACTATCGATTTGTTATGTAAGATCACTGGAATTACAGTTGACGAAAGATGCATAAGTTATAAGAAGCATAAAAATGTAATAGTAAATAGAATATCAAATAAAAATAAAGGAAATTTCCGCAACAAATTGAGGATCATTAAAACCTTGATGGCCAAGGTAAGGAAGGCGTCTGAACCAAAATCTTCTTTTGCGTACATAAGTTAGGTTTCTTAATGTGGATTCCAACAGCCAGCCTCAGCAATATGGAGTAGACGTACTTCTAAGGTAAATTTAAGATTAGTTGGTTGATATGCGGTAGATGACTTTGAAAGCATCCTTGTTAACATCAATTTTGTGTTCTGTATTCACGAGACGAGACAGTATAGAACCATGAATGGACTTTCTTTGTCCATAGCTTAACCACGCAGGATGGTGTTTTCGGAAATCCGACGATAAACACGCCTCATTGTACGGCCTATGTAACTAACTGGCTCCACAGGATCAGTTAAGTTGGTAGATATACATAGAAGAGGCGAAATAAGGCAGTTTATCTTTAACTCCGGAACGCAAGATAGGCGTGGTTTTGAAGATACAGCATAATTTAGCAGCCCTGAATGCGCTTCTTTTTTACCACCGTATTCTCTCGGCATTGTGTTAATTTATCTCACTGATTTTATCCCCGAGGAACTGAAGTTGTATGAAAAGGCCATTTTTTTGTAGAACTGCTGGTACTTTGGCTTATCTTGACTTTTGATTTGTATTGTTATCGATGAATTTTTCTGGGTGACCGTTTTCACTCAGCAACTGTTTAGCACGATTAAGCTGTTCATTAAGGTATTCATCAGACCGAATTGCTGTTGCTCTGTGGACCAAACACTTTATTAGATTGCGTTTATATTTCAAAGGAAAGAAGCTGAAAAAAAAGCCGTCAGGGTTTTGGTGATCCTCAATTTGTTGTGAAAATTTCCTTTATTTTTATTTCATATTCTATTTACTATTACATTTTTATGCTTATTATAATTTATGCATCTTTAGTGAAATGTAAGTGTATGGATCTAATTTAACAATTCGATAATATTTAAAACACTAATATTGTTAATAACGATTATTCTAGAATATTCCATATATACATATATGTCTCCCCATGTCAACTTAGAACATCCAGTTCGGCCTTTCTTATTCGGGTTCCACTTGAGCTTCTGTTAGGGGGATTTCATTCAACGGTCTGTCTCCTTAGCGTATGTTTCATCCGTCTCCATTTCCTTCTGACTACATGTGTTGGTCATTATTCTCGTGGTTGGTTCATTCCCAGAGTGTTGCTTATTGCTCATTGTATCTGACCAGCCGTCTGATTTTCAGTATTGAGCTAGCAAAGGCAGCTAGCGGTGAAGATATGTGGTAGGATGTGTTGAAAATGCCTTTCTTTGAAGCTCACACCAAGTCTCTGAACCATATTAGAGCGGAGTGTAGTCAATTTTCACACTGGTTTTATAGTTCTGATGATCTATTTGGCTTTTCCAATCCTGGCTAGCCTTAACATCCTCTTCTCTGCCGCTTGTAGTTGAAACGAAGCTAACCACTTAGGCGAAAGTGAAAGATTCCTCCCGTTGTTGGTGGTGATTAATACTTGTTGTTGTTGTGGTTGTTTAGGGAGACGTCTTCATCGCGTGTCTGTCTTCTTTACGTTCACTTGAAGTCCTGTCTTCATTGTATCTTCTATCAAATGGATGGTTTTTGCTTATAGATCTTTCAGTTTGTAGTGTTTTAAACGCCAAAACGCTATCCTTTAGACTATTAGGTCAATGATAGAAACGTGTTATGAGTACATCTAAAAATGGCAGGCAACCATTATTCTCTTTAACGTATGTGTTAGCGATATACTGTTTTGTACTCTATTGATCTTGTTCAGGATTTCTATAGCGAGAAGATGGGTCAGTAAAACGATATGTCTACAGAAAGTTCACATGAACGGGACAGTATCTAAATTATCATAGTCTCCTGTCCACTACAGTAAAAAAGGCGTTGGTTAAGTTAAGTGTTTGTTCAAACGCATTCACTGCCGATACAACTGAAGAAGAAAGAAAACACCTCACTGAAATATTGTTAGATAATTATTGCCCGCTGAGATTTATTAGGCGTTACGGAAGTGTCAACTATAGAGCTCTACCAATTCAGTCTGCTCCCAAAAAGGATGTTTACATATCCTTGCCGTTCAGAGGTGATCAACCAAGTCTAGTCACTAGACAAAGACTCAAGGCCGCAATTAATAGGACTTATTATGCAGTTAAACTTATCTTCATAGAGAAAACGAGAACTATGCTGTCCTGTAAACCCTTACGGCATCCGAACGATAGTGGCACATCCCACTGTGTTTACCAATTTACATAAATGTGTGAACACACGTACGTGGGGAGGACCCATCGGTCTCTGCAGGTTAGGGCTACAGAACATATTCCAAAGTGTCTGCAACAACAAATAAAATCACCAGACACAAGTGACCCCGGAAACAGATGTCCAACATCATCTATAGCGAAGCATATTATAGAGACGGGTCATAAGGTTGATTTCAACAATGCCTTTAAGCCCATATATAAAACAAGGTTGGGTCACATACTTAAATTCGTTGAAGTCTTGGCCATAAAAAGACTTAAACCTGTCTATGTGTCCAAAAATTATTTGTTATTACTTTAAACCTGCCTTGGTAATCCAATTTAGAACCAAGGACCAATTTACTTCATAATATTTTCAACCCCTTCTTTGCTTTATTGTTTTCTCTTTTTCTCTTTCTTACCCACACCTTTGCGTCATCCCCCTACCCATTATTTGTGACCCTGACCTGTATTGTAATTACTCATGCCTTCTTACCTTCTATAAAAAACTGTGTATGACAAGTACTCGTGTGTGTATGATCAGAATGTCCAAAATGTGTTGCGCCAATACATTACACATCTCAGATAAACTACGTCTTCGTATTGTGTTGTCGAAATTCATAAAGGGAACTAATTGCTTTAAATTTTTGAAGAGAATTGATAAAGTCAGAGATCGCGTAAGTGTAACTACCAGTTAAATCAGAGATGTATAGAATGATAGAACAACTGCAGTGGTATTCAGATGCTTTATGAAAGCAAGTCTTGTAGTGTAGATCCTGTCACAAGCCTATGGATCAGTCATGGAATCATTGAAAGCCAAGGAACAGTAGTGGATAGCTTTTTCGTTTATTGTTACTGAATTTTCGACACTGAACAACAATGACTTAGGACCTTCAAGTTATGACTATTCTCAGTCACTGTTTGGGAGGGAAGTGAACAAACCTTCTTGGCGTGCAATGCTGATTAGCCCCACATTTAAGAGTGAGGTAGTTGTCCAGCAGTTTCAGTCCATGGTTTTCAACGATTCTTTAATTCGTCGTGGTTTGTGATGAAAATTTAGTTGAAATTAATTAATGCCACGTGTCAGGAGATCCACAACGGAAAACTCAGCGAGGTGTTTGAAGTGAATGCAGGAGTAAGACAAGGCTGGCTGCCTATCATCACCAACGATGATATTCTTAATTGTGGTGGACTGGATTATGCATTAGACTGTGCTGAGGGAGTGAGCAGACAAGAATACGCTGCACTGACCGATAAGAAGACTCTAGAAGATCTAGATTTCTCGAGTGGATGATTCATGTCTAATGTCACACAAAATCGAAGACTGACAGGCGAAAAGCAGCAAACTGGCAAAAGAGGCGGAAAGGCAGCGAAGGCAGGACCTCAGGTGAACATAGAGAAGATGAAGGTAGGTGAGGAAGAGAACCAACCAACCAACAGCAACAGCAACAACAACCACTACCATTCACCATCAACGGGAGAGATTTAACAGAGGTTACATCCTTCACTTATCTAGGAAACATCATTTCAACCACAGGCAGTAGGAACAGATGGAGATATCAAAGTCATAATCGAAAAGGCAAGATACGCTTCCATCAATCTGAAACCAATTTGGATATCTTCTGCACTCAACATAAGGAACAAGATTCGCAATTTCAACACCAATGTCAAGTCGTTCCTTCTGTACGGGCTAGAAACTTGCACTGCGTGTCACGAAAAGGATTTCCAACATGTTGCAGACTTTAATCAACAGCTTCCATCTACTGGCTGCATACTGAAGATCAAATGGCCAGAATTGAATTTACAAGAAGAAACTCTGCAGTGGAACAAACCAATCGACAAGCGAGAGCCGATTGCTCAACATATATGTAAGAGAAAACGGATATGCATTGGACATATATTGAAGAGACCGTCGAATGACATCGTGCGCAGTGCAGGACATTGCTCGAATGTAATCCCGATGGGAATCGACGAGTGGATGGTAGGTGCGAGGGTGACATTGAGGAGATCGTTTGGTGAGGAGGAGGAGGAGGAGGAGGAGGAGGAGATGAGAGATTATGGGCAATCGTGGACCCAGGTGAAGAGGATGGCAGAAAATAGCAGAAAGTGTGGATGTGTTATTGAATTGGTATGTTTCACTCGGAACCCAAGGGAATAATAGTATTAATAATAATAATCAATCGTTCACCATCTCTTGAAATTCTTATTCAACAGCCACTTGCTATTCCATGAAGTTGTCTATCAGCAGGTTTCGAACCCATGACGTATTGGTTAGAATTCGAGCGCTTAGACTTATGAGCTACTGGTGATGCTGTCTTTCAGATTATTTAGTGTGTAACAATTTGAAAGAGTATATGAAAAGTAGTAATATGTAATAACAATTTATAAAGGGAATGTTTCTTCTTAAAATGTAATCAATGCACATATATATGTATATATTTATGCTCTTCTTTATAATTTTCTCTAATAATTGCATTTCTCTACTGTTTTTAGAGACGACCTAAGGTTTGTTCATTATAAAATAGACGATAAATACTGTATACAAAGCACATACAATTTTTAATTTGTGTAGCTCGGGAGATTTCCTCTAGCACTTTATATATTTAGAATGCTTATTGTGATACTGCCTGTCTATATATATTCATCTGTCTATCTAACTATCCATCTATTGTCTATTAGCCATCTGTCTGTTTGCTCACCCATGCCTGTCTGCTATCTATACCTAGCTGTCTGTCTATCCATCCATGTCTGTCTGTTTACCTACTTCTATCTATCTGCCCATCCCTCTTTCTGTGTGTCTGCTACGTCTGTGCCTGTCTGTTTACATTCTATACCTGTCCGTTCACCTAGTTCATCTGTCTGTCTGTCTATCGGTAGATCTTTTAGTTAGCGTGGTGTTTATATTTTGATTTTCGTTTAACTTTTTATTTTTATACATTGATGTCGTCAAATATTGCACAATATTATGTATATTTTAAAAGCTGAATTGACAATATGAAAAAGGGATATTAAGTGGAAATTATGTCACTCAACTTGAAGTTCTAGTTTTTATAGGCTCATGCAACTGAGGAGAAAATAAATTTTCCTTTAAAATGCGGGATATACTTTACCTAGAAGTGCCAATAAATACGTTTTTAATATCTTCTCATGTCGTATGAGAGACTAATGTTCGGTTAGAGGATTTCATCATGAACTGACATCGGTAAGAGAACCTGCAAGGAGTACTGGACAGCTGTTCATATCGTCCTAGTTTGAAACTCTTCAGCAGTGCGCACACTCCGGGTTTCGAACTCAGGACTTTCTAGTTACAAGAAGAGCTAGCTAGTAGACCATTAAGCCACTGGGACCCAATGCAATGGCTCGTGAATTCTAACTTCTGCCAGACAATTCACGACATAGCGCGACTCACACTGGCTAATGTCTTCGGCGAGTATTTTTCCTCACAACCGACCTGCTGCAAATACTCGCGCTATGTAGGGAATTGGCAGAAGTTGGAATTTACGGGCCATTGGATTGGGTCCCAGTGGCTTAATGATCAATGAGCTCGCCTTGCATACGGAGGGTTCAGTGTTCGAACCCTGCCAGTGAGTACTAACTAACGAAGAGTCCCAAACTAGGGGGGACGAAACAGCTATCCAATACTCCTTGCTTGTTTTCAGTGGTTTTCTAACTGATATCAATCTATGATCAAGCTTGAATCAAATCAAATCAAATCCCTACAAACTAGCTCTTGAAGCAAAAACAACCTTATTTGTTTTTACATATTCAATGATTAATTTTATTATATGTATGTAGTTTCTACTACTTTATTTTTGCCACTGTTATTGTTTTTCTTTTGTTTTGTCCTCACTTATTTGTTTCCACTTGTGTTATAATTCACTTCATCTTGTTCCTGACACATGAAGGTGTTTGGTTTCACTTTGTGCACAAGGGAAATGTGCGTCATTGTCAGAGCGTTAGAGTGCTCGTCAACCACGCAGGTGGTTCGGGGTTCGATTCTTGGCCGACACCGCACTCCTTTACCTCTCTAAGCCAGTAGTAAGACTGGCAAAAAGAGAGGGTTGGGCATGAGGCTAGCAACCCCATCCTGTAAAAAATAATCACTACTGCTACAGAAACTTCAAGCCTTTAACTTGAAGCCCTTCCTATGTTCCACTGGTAACGTAAAGGAAATAAATAAAACAAGGGAAATGTTTGACTAAAGGCGTATTTATTTTAATGTCTTCATAATTTCAAATTGATATTAATTAGAGGAACATTGAAAATTAAGGGTGCAGGGGGTAGTCGTTTCGTCCTGGTCGGAGCTTCTTCAGTAGTATGCAGTGATAACCACACCACGGATCGAAATATGTTATTATTCAACCAGTGAGCTGTAATCTTATGGTCCTAGGGGAAATGTCTATCTATAGCTGTCTAAGTTTCATTAGCTGTCCAACTGATGTCTGTTTGCTGCATAATCTGCCTTGAAATCAATAAATCCCTAAAGGTCATCACTCGAATAATATTATGATTTGAAATTATTTTGTTGGTGTGTTTTCTGGATTTCTTCTTGATATATCTGATCGTATTGAATGGTTTCGTTTTGGTATATTGTCTTCTTGGACACATGTCTTGATATTATCAGGACTAGAAAGTCAAAGTCATCTGCTTGATTGTGTTTAATGGTAGAATCCAGCTGACCCGCGTCTCTTCCTATTTGGCTCTCATCGTCTGAGTGTTCTCGGTCTCCATTGAGTGAGTGAGTGGCCGATGGTGTTCCCTTTGGGGCTCAAATGCATTAGCTATTGCTTCAAGTATCTCAGGGTTAACATACCCTATACATAAGAGGTGGCACTAGTGACCCCTAGTGGCCTTAATGTATAGCGTTTCGAGGTGATAGGTACTGGCTTCACACTTTTTCGGTTGAAAAATCATCACTCACTGAAGGGCGTGTATATCCAGCTGACGAGTTCCAAGCAGGAAGAGATACGATTCAACTATATTCTAATGGTAGCCATTTTGAAATAAGTAATATTACAACCTGTTGACATGGCAGCTACTAGCACAGACGCTTAAATGATACTTTGAGATTAATGTGATTTTATTTAGCTTGTGGTAGCTAGCAGTGGAATTGAAACCACATGTTTCATCCTGTCTGAGAATATCTTGAATAACCTTGAGTTAGTGCACTTCTACTGATGTAATCTGTAATGATTGAAAGTGAAATGATAATCACAGTAGTCGGAAGGGACAAATTATTAACCAGCCTTCGACCCTACTCTGTTAGATGAGCTGGTGAATCGTTAGTGTCTTATAATACAGAGATGATTGGTTAGAATACTACCTGACTTTATTTCCTTCTCACTTGAACATTCAATCAATTTCAAGTCATCCTCTTCTCTTTTTATCGCAGTTTTGAGTTCCCAGTGCAATATAGATCTTCAAAGTTTTTTCGGGTTTCATTAGCCTTGGTATTGTTTCTTTTATAGGGTGGAGTTGTTAGACTCATTCTCAACCTTCTCTCTTTGCTATCAGCAAGTAAACTAAACACTGTGAGATTTAGGAATGCGTCACTTGGGAGATGAACCTCAGTTCACCTGAGGGGTTGACGAGCATTCAACCACCGAATCACCTATGTACAACCTTGAGCACTATGTGATGGAGTATAATTCCATTATGGATAAAAATTTATTTTTGATAAAATCACACAGTGTAGTGTTATACAGTAACCTTTACTGCTGACGACGTTTCGAACACAATTTATTACAGCAGCTCATAATCATTTCAAGGCAGTACTCACACAAACAAGTTTCTTGCTTCACTTATATACATGAGTAAAAATTGATGATTAGACATTTGAATAAAATCAATATAAGATGAGAAAGTACATTCGGAAATAATAATATTAGTGTTATCAATCAAATACAATCAGATGGGAAATAAGACGAGTGTTTTTATAGTCAAAATAAATAAATAACTTGTTAGAATGTAGGAATGTGTGTGAATTGAAATAGAATTTTAAGATTATTTATTATCCTTCTCTGATTCGACTGGTTGTAATAATATCTTCCATATCTCTGGTATTTGCTTTGAGTCACTTCTATTGCACGTGTTGTGTTGGGTGTGTAGACTCGATGAACCAGGTAGGATTCAGTAATTAATTTCCCTCTCTCTCTACGCCTACCTATATAACTTCTTAGAATTTTAACCCTCTCCCACCCACCTTGTTGTGTGATTGCGTGATAATGCATGCAGTGCAATTGCTGAGTTTTTTTCTAAATTACTTAGCTTCTCGGGGTCAGCCATTCTTACCTTAGCTAAATTCTTATATTCTGATAACCTATTTCCAACAGCATTATTATTACTCTCTCACACACACACATCATTATTATTATTAAGTAGTCGCCATTATAACCCTGTCCCTGATAGCATCAACAATCAGTCGTATATTAGACAGTTTATGAATGGGTATGGTGCTTCAAATATATATATCTTTATTAAAATACTCGTAAATGATTTTAGACATCTTCTTGTATAGTAATAATAGTAATAATAATCATAATAGTAATACTATTAATATTGGTAATAAAGGATCAATGGTAGTAGTCGTAGTGGTCAAAGTTTGAGTTGATTCTCAGCAGGATGTCAAACAGCTACTGCTGAGTAAGTTATCCATCTACCAGCTAAACTAAGGTTATTATGATTTTTTGTTTAAAAGTTTGATTTAATTTTGTTTTAGTGAGCTAAAAACTTGTGTACAGATGCACCCTCACACACACACACTCACACTCACACAAGCACAAAATATAAATTTCATAGAACTACAATGTATGTGTTATGATAATAGTATAGTTATATTTTCAAGAAAATCTCACAATACTACTGAGAGATTTTCACTACAGATTGATATCAGTTAGAGAACTATTGAAAATTCACGAGGGAGTACTAGACAACCAGCTGTTGAGAATCATCTGCAGTACGCACCCACTAGGGTTCGAACCCACCGATGACATTGGTTGGTGCCAGTCGAGCCAAATGCATCACGAATTGCTAGAAGTTAGAATTCATGTGTTGGCCATTGAATAGAGTCGGGTCCCAGTGAATCAATGGTATACGAGCCAGCTTGCCTTGTAACCAGAAGGTCGTGTTTTCGAACCCCACTGTGGTGGATACGTAATGAAGATGATTCCCAAAGAGGAAGGATGAAATAGCTGGTTGTCCAGTACTCCCTGGTGTGTTTTCAATGGTTCTCTAACTGATATCAATCCGTGGTCAAACTCATCAAAACAAATCTAATCCTTACAAACCAGCTCTTGAAAACTACTGAGAGAATCGAATTATTAAATTCAAAGACTCTCATATATACACATATGTACATATATCAGTTAGAGGACCATTGAAAAACAACAGTGGAGTCCTGGAAAGTGGTTTCGTCCTAGTTTGTGACTCTTCATCAGTATGCACCCATCTACCGGTTACGAGGCGAACCATTAAGCCACTGGGACCCGAAAGAATGATCCACGACTTCCTACTTCTTTGTAACCACCAGCCTCTGTCAGGAGTAAGTAAATGTCCTGTTGTCTGACGACTTGGTGGAGCCTTCTGGTTACGACTTCTCACCAGTACTCCCAGGTTTTCCAATGGTCCTCTAACGGATGTCAGCTCATGATCAATAATGTAACCAATAGAATCCCTGCAAACCAACACTTGACGGCAAAGTTAAACAATAGCATCCCAAGGGATGCGAACACACGAGTGACCTTGGGTCGACCAATCATAAAATTAAGTGATTTTTGCACAAAAAATGACGTTTATTTACAACAACAAAAAATGCATGGAAACACGTTAAACAGGGTATCTTTCCCTGACATGACTTAAAAATACATCCCAGTTATAGCGAGGAGTGTCAGCTTTTAAGTTAGACCAGTTTCTGTACATGTATTCACTGAGGTGACTTAAGGTAAGCTTGTTTTGTGATCCGTTTATCGCTCTTATCCAGTTGTGCAGTCTTCTCCAAAAGCCGTCGGTTGAATTACTATGGTTTACAGTGAGAGGATTGACGACTACTTACCAGGGAAATGTGGATAATAAAACAAATCAAAATAAATAATACCAACTCTAAATCTATCCCTAATCGTAACCCTAACCTTAATCCTAGCCCTTATCATAATTCTTATCCAAACTGTAATTCTAACCCTTTTGCTAATTATAACCCTGATCCTAACCCTAACCTTAATACCTACCCTAACGGTAATCCTAACCTTAACGAGCTATTAACACATTGTCCAAATAGTAATTAAAAACGTGATCTGGGTGAAATTTTCTCCTTAGTTGGTGAATAGCGTTCATGTTTGTGCTACAATAATGACAGGTGTCGTTAGCCAATGACAAGCACGCTTTCAAGGTTATTGGAGCTTTCGCAACCCTGTGAAGCTATTTTTTAACTTCGCCCACTTGACAGTGTATATATATATATATATATTTTTCCTTCACGTTCCCCAGTGGAACATAGGGCTTCAAGCTACAAGCTTGAAATTTCTGCAGCAGTGTTTATTTTACAGGATGGGGTTGCTAGCCTCATGCCCAACCTTTCCTCTTCACCAGCATTATTTCTGGCTTAGCGAGGTAAAGGAGTGCATCCAGTGGCCGGGGATCGAACCCCGGACCATGTGCATGGTCGGCGAGTGTCCTAACCGCTATGCCACCGGCGCAATATATATAAATATATATGTATATATATGGCAAAGTTTGGGCAAATCTTATATTGACCCTAAACGAAACTACCTCCTGATAAAGACCTTGACAAATCCCTATATCGACCAATGTAATAGAGAAGATTTTTAGCTTAGGGGGATGATTTGCAATTTGTTGTGTCCTCTATCTGAGCTGGTTGGTTTAATTGGGAAGCTTTCGTCGTCCACCCTGTGGACAACATCTTCAGTGCAAGTTTTAGCATAAAATGAACTAATTTAAATTCTCTATGAATGATAGAGTTGTGTTTACTTGAAACCACTGTCATGACTGACTGGTAATCAATTTATATCCCTACTGATGATCATTTTTATCACCGACTTGGAATTTGAACTTTCTTGTCACATGATTTACTTTTTATTAGCTGGTGGTAAATTTGGTCTATATTAATATGTTTGTCAATCGCTGACTGATCCGCTTGAGTACCAGGCTTCTAGGAATTCTCTGGCACTACAAGCCTACAAGAAAATTCATCCTATCATATATAAGATATCTCTAAAAAAGCAGCTAGAATATTGAAACCGTTCGAAATAGATATAGCACACAAGACACCTAGCAAAATCACTTCATTCGATATTGTGCGAACCAAAAGATCCACCCAACAGAAAAAGAAGATAAAATTAATACCATTTACAAAATAAACTGTATGAACTATAATAGACATTACATCGGCTAAAGTTGGCGTCCCCTTGGAATCAGAATCCAGGAACACAAATTGGCTGTCAAAAGACATGATATATATATTCTTTCATATCAATGCATTTAGGTAATTATGGACACCAATTTGATGATTGGGATAATGTCGAAATTTTAAACAGAAGAAACACCAAAAGTGCAGTCAGGGAATTCCTAGAAGCCTGGTACTCAAGTGAATTAGTCAGCGATTAACAGGCATATAAATATAGACCAAATTTACCACCAGCTAATAAAAAGTAAATCACGTGATAAGAAAGTTCAAATTCCAAGTCGGTGGTAAAAATGATCACCAGTAGAGATGTAAATCGACCAGCAGTCAGTCACGACAGTGGTTTCCAGGAAACGGTTTCTTTAATTATTACTGTTATAAAAATATTGAACCCGATGGTGTAACTGATCAATAATCAGTGCTTAAATTTAAACTAAACATCTTCAATGAATCCTTGAATAATCACAAAAGCTAAATTATTGTATGTTTTCATTGGTGATCTTAGAGAAAGAGAGAGGTTTTTGGTTTCATTTTGTCATAGATGTGCTGATGCCTGTGACCCTACTGGATTTTAGCGACATACAGATTGAACTGTTACTAGGATACAATCTTGTCAACTTATAGTGTACAGATGAAGGTGTTGACAAGATGAACAGCCTTCTAAATACTCTGATAAGCAATCTTGGTATGTTTAACATCTGATTTGTCTCTATCAAATGCTGCTGCAAGACTGGTATTCAACGACTCTTAGTTTAGAGATAGACAGATAGGTAGACTGAGCGTACTGACCACTTTAAGTAATTTGGCAACTTACATCAGACCTAATGGAATGATTACTGATGAAATGTCAGAATGAATACAAAAGTCTCATGTAAGGCATTTGTCGGCTTACTCCATCTCTCTTGTAAGCGTGATATATTTGGCTATCGAACAAGAAAGATGTGTTATCTCTGCAACCTTTTGCTCTGTCATTCTTTTTTACCTGTGAGATATATGGTCTTTTAAAATGGGAATTTGATTTACCTCCCTCAGTAGTGTTTGTTGCACTTATGCCTAGAGTGTTAGAGGTTATGAGGGAAGGTTGCCTGACGAGATTGTGTAAGGTGCATCGATTAAGATAGCTAAAACATAAGTTATAGTGAATTCCAAGTCATTGATTTCCCCTCTGAGCAATTTGTTGTCTCATCAGTTCATAATCTAAGCTAAAACCCAAATTCTTTTCTAAACTTAAATATTTCCTTTTTTTGACAATCACGCTTACATTTTTCAAACACATGACTCGATAATTATGAGTTTTTCCACCATTGAACATTGAATTGTTGTTGTTGGTGTCATCGTCTTGTTTTTTTTCTTTTGTATTCATTTCAAGGCTGAAATACAATTACACAATGCTATGATTGATGCAACTAAAAGTGCAAATAATCTAGAACGTTGTGTACTTGAATTTGAAGGTCGACGATTAAAAGGCCTTAAGGTAAGTACACACATATTTTTTGTTGTTGTGATTAATCGATTGATTCACTAATTATTTATCTCAAGGATGATTACGGATTGATTGGAAACCAGCAGGGAGTACTGGATAGTTGTTTCGTCCTAGTTTGGGACTCTTCCGCAGTTCACCACCCACGGTGATTCGAACACCAGCAGCTTCCAGTTACAAACCAAGCTCGCAGACCATTTAGCCACTGGGACCCAATTCAATGGCCCGTCAGTCCTAACTTCAACCAAGTTAATCTGATAGTGGCTAGCGATAGCTTAGGTGGCGAAGTTGCCTGTAGTTCTAGTGAGAAGTCATGACTAGTGGATGGTGAAGACAAACACTCGCTGATATAATTGGCTGGTTGTTGTGGTAATTCATGCATTGGTAGAAGTTAGAATTCATATGCTAGCCGCTGAATCAGGTCTCAGTGGATAAGTGGTGTACAAACTTGCCTTGTACCTAGTAGATCGTGGGTTGGAACACTAGCATTGGATGCGTACTGCCGAAGAGTCCCCGAATTGGACAAAACGGTATCCACCGGTTTTCAGTAGTTCACTAAATGATATCAATTCGTGGTCAAACTTGGAACAAACAAGTCGTCTACCCGGTACTGGAGTGAGCCACACATTTATACTGTGTATATATGAGGGCTGATGATAATATCCTAACCGGTGTCCCCTAGGGCAAATGCAGGTAGAGGGAGATTCGGACCCAGGGGCTCACTAACTGGAATTCGATTGATCAGACTTGAGCTTTGAAGTTTCAGTAATGAGAATCTTTTGATCAGGAGTTGAAACCCAGACCACTTGAGTGACTGACGGGCATTCTACCACCTGCACCATCGATACAGTGTTAGACAGCGAAATAAGAAAGGGTAGATTGAAGGAAGAAATTCGATGCTTCAGTTAGGATGAAGATTGTTTACGAATAGAAATTTGTCCTATTGTGATTGATTCTAGATAATATTGTCCAGTTCCCAGTTCTTCTGTAATATCTGTGTATATTTCTCCTGTTATGTAATATATTTGATTTCACCGAAGTAAGTTATGAACAGAATGTACATGGAAAAAAAAGTAAAATAATAGTTTTTCTGATATATATAAAGATGAAAACGTATCAGGGGAATAAGAAATAGGAAGAAAACTAAGGAGCTAAACATGATTTGGTTTATGATAAATGTTGAGGTGGAAGTTGCTTTTTTTGAATGCGCACCTCCGGTTTCTTGATGCGTACGGCGAGAACACCTTCACTGCAATGACAAGAGTGGTATTCTCTAGCGACATACCTACTTCAAGCAATTTGATGGACAGACTACTGTATATGACCACACCAGTGTACATATATGAATTTATATGTGGTTGTGCAGCCAGACACTTAAATTTTTCTAAGCACATCCTTTCGAAACATGTTAAAGAACACTATCGACCAAGTTAAACTTTAAGCAACACTAACTGTCATTGGAGTACGACCGCACTAATGACCTTGAAAAGCTCACTGAGCAAGTTAGTGAAACCTGGCAGATAATGTTGTCATCATCAATAAAATATATGCTCATCGAAGTGTTATGCTGTTAAATGCTATATCTGGTAAGTTTCAGCATAGGTTTGCGAAGGATTAAGTTATGCTTTAAGCCAAGGACAAATTAGGGTTAGGTTAATCTAATAAAGACGACATAAAGGTTGATTCGAGTTAGAATAGGGTTAGTTTAGGGATATTTTCACGTTAGGGTTTGGTTCAGGAAAGATTAGAGTTAGAAGAACTAAATAATTACATGCATAGAATGTGGTTAAATTACTCTGTTGATATAAGAATAGAACTTGTGCACTGTAGTGGTAGAGTATAATTCCATTGTGGGTAAAATTTATTTTGATAGAATCACACAGTGTTTTGCAGTAATATTTACCGATGACGACATCTCGAGCACAATTTATTCCTCAGTAAGTATAACTGTATTACGGAATATACACATTTGATCATAGGGAATAATACAAAGACAGCTACAGCGAAGAAAATTTTCTTTTCGACGAATTCATCAACTAGGTAGCTGTAAATTCGTGTATTTATAATAAATGGGTGGGAAAGTTCCAGAATAATTTCCAGTCAAGAGCCAAATTAATAAAATAACAATTAGGAATTAAAATGCCATAATAAAACAGGGGGGAAGGATAAAACTCAAACAAAATAGCCTCATAATTACTGAGAAGATTGACATATTGTGCAATTAGGGTTTAGTAATATAGAAATAACAAAAACAGACAGGATGTTTCGATAAAAAATCTAGTGGGATGATAACTAATGTGACGAATAATTGTTTGTGCAATTAGGGATTAAATACGTAGAAATAATAAAATGACAAAATAGACAGTAAGTTCATATATGAAAATATGGTAGTGTAAATAGGAGGGATTAAGAAAAACTTAAAAATAACATGAATAAACAGGAAGTTTGGATAAAAAAGCTAATGGGATAGTCACTATTAAAAGAATTACCTGTTTATGATGTCCACGGCAGGGACAAAGGTCGGACGTATTTCTTTTGGATACATGGTATGGGTTTAAGCTTTTGGAAGGCTAGTGCCTCAGCTATGCCCAGATGTCTTTATTTTACTCGCTTTGATAGGTTTGATCGAATCTTGTATATTATTTTGAAGGATTTGTCGAATGGTGCTGAATGTCCTGAATTGACCAGATGTTCTATCACTGGAATATATACACGTTTTCGTTCTCCTTTTAACTGTATTACACTGAGACTTCATCAAAACAAATTTTACCCCCAATGGAATTATACTCTTATTGATATAAGTATAAAACTTGGGCACTGTGGCAGAGCATAATTCCATAATGGATAAGATTTTATTTTGATAATCACACAGTGTTGTACAGTAATATTAACTGATGACGTTTCAGGCATAAACTATTGCTCATAATCATATCAACTTGATATGACAAAAGATACACCAACCATTCCAATAAACTGCTTAACTCTTTCATTATTTTTTATGTTTTCCTTGTCAAAAAATAACAGAAAATTATTACAGATTTTATTCAAATTGAAATGTTATGGCATGCTAAAGCATTAGAAACGTATAGTTTAGCCTATAATGCAATCCAATCATTACATGAAGAAGCTGACTTGATTGACTTTCGTGGTACACTACTTCGTTCTGGTAGTGATTTAACTCTACTGAAAAATGCCAATCTTTTAACAAGTCAACAAAGTATTGCTGCTGGGAGTAATGGTGGCGCTGGTGGTGATACGGGCTCATTGATGTCATCGTCTACAATGCCACAGAATAGAAATCATCGATCGCATAAATCATTGACATCGAGAAATAATTCAATGAATTCCTTGAAATCAGGCAGTCGTGGTAGTCTTGGCTCATTAAGAGGGAATAATAATAATCGAAAGAATCGACAGGCAAATCGTCAGCAGCAGCAGCAGCAACAACAACAATTACACCAATCTGGTTTGTCGCATCAGGTAGGTTCGTATGACTTTTCTATATTTTCTCCTCTTCAGAGTTAACGTTAGTTTTCTGTGTAAGATTCTAGATTTTTAAACTTTATCGATTCATTCCCCTTGATGAATTTGAATAAAGGAAGAAAAAAACATATAAGCGAACAGTATTGTTGTATTCAGTTAGATCTTCTTCAGGCTATGCTCCAATTTATATATATATATATATATATATATATATATATATAAAGAAACAACTTAACCAATGACGGTGATTTTGTGGATCAAATAATAATAATAATTATAATAATGTGGTAAATGTTTTCAACTTAGTTAATAACGACGATTATAATGATAGCAAAATATTGATAATAAGGTTTATGCAGGTGGCGATAATTATTATAATTGTATCCTTTAATTCCTACAGGAACATAGGGCTTCAGCCGTGCGTCTCCATTGAGTTCGGTTCTCTGCTAGAGTCTTCACCTGGCTCCATGTCTGCCCACACGTTTTCATCTCCTCTTCACATGACCTCCTCCAAGTCACCCTTGCACTGACGACCAACTCGCCGCTTCCCTTTCGGGTCCCACTGGAGCAATGGCTTGTCTAGTGATGTCACTTGATGGTTTCCTCAGAGTATGGCCAGCCAATCCATCTCCATTTCTTCCTGCCTATTTGTTTCACAATCGGTTCCTGCTGTGTTGGTTCGCTCCCAAAGATCCCTGTTGCTGATCTTTTCTGGCCATCTGATCTTGAGTATTGAGGGAAGACAACTGTTAATGAAGGTTTGTAGTTTGTTTGAGATGCTCTTCATAACGCGCAGTGCAAGTCTCTGATCCGTATAGTAGCACTGACTTCACATTGGAGTTGAAAATCCGGATCTTATTTTTCATGCTGTGTTGTTGACCTCCACACAGACTTGAGAGTTGTGAAAGCTTGTCTTGCTTTTCCGATTCTTGCTTTGATATCCTCGTCAGTTCCGCCTGTAGTTGAAACGATGCTTCCGAGGTAGGTGAAAGAGGTTGTTTCTTTCAGGTTCTTCCCACTTATGCTGATTGTTGTCTGTTGTTGTTGCTGTTGGCGGTGTTGGCCAGGAATCTTCATCACCTCTGTTTTCTGTATGTTCACCTGAAGGAAGTCCTATCTTCTCTGGATGTTTCTTCTGCTAACTTGTTGCTTTTCGCTTGCATGTCTTCCAGTTTGTGGGAAATCAGACATATATCATCGGCGAAGTCAAGATCCTCCAAGTTTTTTGTGTGGGTCCATTTTATGCCTGTTTCCTCACTGCCTGCTGTTTGTCGCATTATCCAGTCTACTGCAAACAGGAAAATCATTGGCGATAGTAGGCAGCCTTGTCTTACTCCTGTCCTCACTTCGAAGGGTTCCGTAAGTTTCCCGTTGTGGATTACTTGGCATGACAGTGATTTTGTGGATCAAATAATAATAATAATGTGGTAAATGTTTTGAACGTAGTTAATAACGCTGATTATAATGATAACAAAATAATGATAATAAGGTTTATGCAGGTGGCGATAAGAATAACAAATTTTATCTATCGTATTCCATCGAGCCTTTTGAACGGAATCCGAACCCGCCTTTTACATATAGCCGAAGCTGTGGGAATTATTTCGAGAGAACAATCCTAGTCTTTGCATACAACAAAAGAAGTTTGTTTTACCTTCGTCTCTCCCTTGCTTGCCTAGGTGAATTCTAATTAAAACCCTACCACCCTTTCTAATTTCCCATTTCCTTCGTACTTTTATGATATTTATTTAAACTCTGATTGTCTGTCCACTTCACCTTTAGTACTAAGTAACTTTTAAGATTTGACCTAATTTATTTATTGAATTGTCCACATATACAAATGTATTACTACTTTCGTTATTCTTATCGCCACCTGCATAAACCTTATTATCAATATTTTGTTATCAGTATAATCCTCGTTATTAATGACGTTCAAAACATTCGCCCCATTATTATTATTATCATTATTATTAGTTGATCCACAAAATCACTGTCATTGGTTAAAATTTCTATTTATAAATCTGTGTAAATTAGAGTAAAGCCTGAAGAAGATCTATTTGAAAACAACAATATTGTTCGGTTATATGTCTTGTTCTAATATTATAAATGGGAATATTTAAAGATTTAAAGGAAGAACAACAACAGTGGTTTGTGCAGAATATGTAGATGGTACCATCATTATTTATTTCGTTGGCTTCTCATCAGCTCATCTGCTTACAGCTTGCAAATTTTTCATGATGTCAGTTGACAGAAAGTTCTGCAATTGGTGAACAGTGCTGAGAAAATAACGCTTATATAGTTTTCTACATAGACAGTTCAAGTTTAAACAAAAATAGATGTATGCCTAAAATGAATGGTAAAGGAGTTACATAATAAAGACGAGAGATGCGTAAGATGCTGAGTGACTAATAAATAAGGTAACAATGTACTGAGTTCAACTCAAATCACAGAAATAAGAGGTAAGGAAAATTACACCATATTAAAGTGGGTTGGGTGAGGTTAAAGCCAAAGATTACGTGATCAAATGAAAGAAAGAATAAAGACATCCAGTTACCAGGCCGTATGGCAAGGAAAGACTAATAACTGCTTTAGATAGAAATTGCTTCGGCAAGCATGAGGAGAATCACGCTCCTTGGTCTATTGATAATTTTAGAGGATTTCGCGATTTCCACTTCATGATCCGTATTGAGGAGATGTCTGGTAGGTAATAACGCTATTATAAGATTTTGTTCCCTTAAGACGTAGGCTTTTCGGCACATGTTCTGAAAATCGGATGTGTGCCCTTCTTTCTGTTCTCCCAACGCAACTGCTCCCACAGATACACGTACACCTCCGGTTTTAACCTCACCCCTTTGACATGGTGTAGTTTTGTTTGTCTCTTGTTTCTATGATTCCAGTTGTACTCAGTACATTGTTACCTAATTTTTTAGTCACTCTGCATCTTAAGCATCTCTCGCCTTTATTACGTAACTCCTTCATTATTCATTGTGTGCATACATTTATTTTGTTTAAACTTGAACTGTCTGTGTAAAACCTATATAAGCGTAATTGTCTGAGCACTGTTCACTAATTGCAGGACTCTCTGTCAACTGACATCATGATAAATTTGCAAGCTGTAAGCAGTTGAGCTGATGAGAAGTCAACGAAATAAACAATGATGGTACCATCTTCATATTCTGCACAAAGCACCACTGTTGTTGTTCTTGCTTTATTCAAATTTATCGATTTCACTGTGTAGAACTACTTTCATTCCAGCTGATGCATTCCTAAACCTCGTCTATAGCAAGCTTGGAAAAGCGGAGAAGTGTTCAGGGCGTCAGACAGAAACACACACCGCTACTGAAATATCAAATCCTGAAAACTTGAATGAAATTATATACTACTGGTTGGTTGAAATGAGTAGTAGTATATCACTCATATCAGTGAATTATATTATTATTATTTCCTTTAATTCCTAGAGGAACATAGGGCTTCAGCCGCGAGTCTCCATTGCGTTTGGTTCTCTGCTAGAGTCTTCACGTGGCTCCAAGTCTGCCCACACGCTTTCATCTCTTCACATGACCTCCTTCCAGTCACCCTTGGACGACCAACTCGCCGCCTCCCTTTCGGGTTCCACTCGAGCAAGGGCTGGTCTAGTGACGTCTCTTGATGGTTTCCTCAGAGTATGACCAGTCCATCTCCATTTCTTCCTGCTTATTTGTTGCACGGTCGGTTCCTGCTGGGTTGGTTCGCTCCCAGAGGTCTCTATTGCTGATCTTTTCTGGCAGGCCATCTGCTCATGAGTAGTATTGAGCGAAGAAAGCTGTTAATGAAGGTCTGTAGTTTGTTTGAGGTGCTATTTATGACGCGCCAAGTCTCTGATCCGTAAGTATAGTAAGTAGCACTGACTTCACATTATAGTTGAAAATCCGGATCTTATTTTCATTTTCATGATGAGTGCTGTTCATCTCCACACAGACTTGAGAGTAATGAATGCTTGTCTTGCTTTCCCGATCCTTGCTTTGATATCCTCGTCAGTTCCGCCTGTAGTTGAAACGATGCTTCACAGGTAGGTTGGTAGGTAGGTAGGTAGGTAGGTAGGTAGGTAAAGAGGGTTGCTTCTTTCAGGTTCTTCCCATTTACGCTGATTGTTGTCTGTTGTTGTTGTTGCTGTTGGTGTTGCCAGTCAGTAGTATTTGCTAATCATATTCCTACCCATTTATTATAAATACACGAATGTATAGCCTAGTTGATGATTTCATCAAAAAGAAAATTTTCCTCGCTGCAACTGTCTTTTTAACATGGTTTGTTGCTGACTATGCGAGGTTTAAAAGTGTTTCAGTCAGGAATCGACCCCCTGGACCACCCAAATACTTGGCAAGCCTTCTACTATTATCATCGTCAGTGATTAATACTAAATTATTACTATTAATTAACATCAGTTTCATTGATTCAATTTTATTGATTTGTTTTTTACTTGAATCAGAACGATGATGTCACAAGTTTATTCACTGAAGGTGATGATGATGTTGGCGTTAATCATAGTATTCGAAGTACAACAGATAATACAAAACATGTGATGAATGGTCTCGAAGATCTTGAAGATGATGATGATGATGACGATTTCGATGAAGAAGCCGATGAAGAAGATGATGAGGACGAAGAGGATGAAGATGAGGATGAGGATGAAGAGGATGACGATGACATTGATGGCAGTACAACACACTCACCAACACGAAGTAGAACAACAACAAATCCACCTATCATATCATCAACAAATGTCACCACTGTAAACCGACCACCTGGTTCAGCACAACATTCACCATTGAAATCTGCCCTAAAATCTGGTATCTCAAAACCATGAATTTTTTGTTGTTGTTATTATCACATAATGGATATATGCATCTTTCAACTGCCTGTCATCAATGAATGAATGAATGAATCGACAACAGTGAATAGATTTCATTGGTTTTTTTTTGGAAACAGAAACAATCTATACCTCAGAAAACGTCTTTCTCAACCATCATCAGCATCATTGTCATCATCACAGTCACCATCATTATCTTACATTATTACAGAAAGGCACAGAGTAGAAAGACCAGCATCCTTTTATTGTATTGCACTTAAAATCATCTACCTACCACACACGAATATTTTATTCAAACATTTGTGTATACTAACTATTGTTAGTAAGTAGTATAATTCTTTCTGCTAAAATGTCAGCATGGTGCTGAATATAATTTTTATGTGTATACATATATGTGTGTTATCTACCTACTTACTACTGTTTCCTTTCCAACATGCATATCATATTTTCACCTTTTTCGTTGATCAATTTATAGATTTCATTAGAATTTTTTTTAAATTTATTTTGCGCGGAAACTGGTAAACAATAACCAAAAAACAATCTATTTATTTAACCTATTGTACAAAGTGAACTAAGTGTTATTCCATTTCATTCATTTTTGCGTGTCTCTCTGTTTTTCTGTCTATCAGAAGTATGTGCGTGTGTGCGTGTTTGTGAGTGTGTGTGTGACTTGATGTGGATTGTAGAATTTATTTTTATTTGAAGGTGTTATTCTTTTCCGCTAAAGAGGAACAACATGGACAAGAATAACCGACAAATACTCGTATTCTTTTTTGTGTTGTAATCAGAATTTTTTCTATTTTACTCAAAACAATAATAAAATATTGAAGTGTTTTCTTTCTCTTTTTTTTCCCTGAGAGAAAATGAGGATTATTATCTGTGATGATGAAATTCTGAAAGCAATTGAATCGAATTTAATTGAATTTTAGATTTTTCCCGTCGATTGATTGGACCAAAGTGCATCACTCACCGAGAAATGCAGGTACATCCAGATGACGAGTCCCAGGTAGGACGAAATGCGCATCCTGGGTTCCACTGCTAGTCACCATCCACCAGTTAAATTGAATCGAATCCCTGCAGACTAATACTTGATTGTCTGTCTGATGTTCACTAGTGACTGGCCTTATTCAAGTAGGTAGTCACCTTGATTCTAGTGGAAAGTTGTGACCTGTGGGGTGCAGCAGGTTGGGCAGGTGAGAGGATAAGTACTAGCCACGGATGATGTTGGCTAGTGCCTGTCGTGCTATATCGTGCGTGAATTGATGGAAGTTGGAATTCATGGGCTGGCCATTGGGTCAGGTCCCAGTGGCTTAGTGATCAACAAACTCGCCTTGTAAACGAGGAGTTCAGTGTTCGAATCTTGGCTGTGGGGGGCGTACTAATGAAGAGGCCCAAACTAGGGGGGGGGGAAACAGCTATCCGTTACTCCGAGTTAGTTTTCCAATGATTCTCTAACGGATGTCAGCTCATGATGAAACCATGAAACCAGTCAAATCCATGCAAACCGACACTTGTATATTTTTACTTTTTAATGTATGTGTCGGTAAGTCAGTTCTTTTTAGTCAGTCAGAAAATTGCACGAAAAACAAGTCCAATAAGTTACAGATTCTTATCAACACCCACCTTCGCTCAAAATTGAAGATCAAATGGCCAGCTAGAAACAATTAGCAACAAGAAACTCTGCCTGGGAACAAACCGACCAAGAATCAACTGATCAAGAAATATGCGGTAGAATATATAGATGGATCGAACATAGACTGAAGAGATCATTGGGTGATATCACGCGCCATGCACCACTGTAGTGGAATCCGAATAGGAAAACGACGAGTGGGTGGTTGGTGTGAGGGTGACATGGAGAATATCGTGTGGCGAGGAGGAGATAAGAGAATATGGGAAGTGATGGGACACGCTAAAGAGGACCGTAGAAAACTTGGTGTTGCTGGAGCCCTATGTTCCACTTGGAATCTAAGGAATAAATACCAATAATAATCAGTGTTCTTAATCAATAATCAGTTTGAATTTTATAAGCATTGCATAACTTGAGTGCAGTCAGTCAATAATTGAAATCATGTGAGTGAATAATGATCACTCAACCACATTAAATATGATCATATCAAATTTATCGATTGATAAATATTTTAAAAGCGTTTCCAAAAATAAAGAAAACATTACAACTGAATAACTACTCACCGAATTTCATTCAAAAATATATTTAAACCCATGAAAACTAGTAGTAATGTAACAAGAGAAGGTAAGACACGGAACCAAAGGTATATTTTCCATTGATCGAACCGCTGTTTATATATCTACAATTTATATTCGTTAATCAGTCACTAAGCGTATGATTTCGTTTTACATCAAATGACATGAAATAGAATGTTCAGAGATACATAGTATTCTGTTGCTGATGCCGAATTGAACTTTGGGAACACATGAGAATAACATTCCGTTGGTACATATTGTCTGTATCACACCACCACAGAAAAAGTAAAGCAATGGAGGAATCCCCGTTATATGTGTTTATATTCATGGGAATTTTTTATGTTTACTATTAAGGTAAATCCCAAGATTACTTAGATGCTAGAAATTCTTAGAATTACGAGAATAATTCCCCTGATTGAGAATAAAAGTGATCTTAAGGTATTTTCGCGCATAGTATAGCAAAAGTCACAACAGATATTTGAGCAGTGTGAAAAAGGATCGATAAAACATTTTTAAAACGGCTAAACGTGATATCTGCTAATTATTACAGCAATCCTCTAGGCTATTGGTGCAAAATCACATATGAGTAAACCAACGGAGGGAATTCGAATCGTAACTGAACTCTAATTTCTTTTCTACATTTTCAAATCATTAGAAACGTGAGAGAAGTGGAATTTTAAGAGCTGGTTTTTAAGGATTAGATTACGAGTTTGACCACGGATTCGTATCAGTTAGAGAACCATTGAAAACCTACCAGGTAGTACTGGACAACCAGCCATTTCGTCAACCTAGTTTGGGACTTGTCGGTGGCACGCACCCACTGATAGGGCTCGAACCCACGACCTTCCACTTACAAGGCAAGCTAGCTCGTATACCATTCAGCTACTGAGACCCAACTCAATGGCCAGCCCATGAATTCTAACTTCTACCAATTCGTGATGCATTTAGCGCGACTGGCACCAACCACTGTCATCGATGGAAAATCCATCCTCACACTTGTGAGGTCTATACAGTTAGTACTGCCAGGCAGCTGCTTCATCTTTGTGCTTATGACTCATCAACAGTATGCACCCACCAACGGGCCTCGAACCCAGGACTTTCCAGTTACAATGCTAGCGAACTCGTATACCATTCAGCCACTGGGACTCGATTCAATGGCTCAACTACTGAAAATTAATCTGGTGCTTGCTAGTGACTTGCTACAGAACGGAGTTTCCTGGAGTCAGTTCTAGTGAGAAATCGTGACCAGTGAGGTCCATCCAGTCAAGTGTGACGGTGGATTTCCCACCGATGACCACCGATTGGTGGGTGTCAGTCGCGCTAAATGCATCTCAAATTGGTAGAAGTTAGAACTGATGTGCTGGCCATTGAACAGAGTCGGGTCCCAGTGGCTGAATGGTATATGAGCCAGCTTGCCTTGTAACCGGAAGGTCGAGGGTTCGAACTCTGGCAGTGGGTGCATGCTGTAGATGATTCCCATAGAGGAAGGATGAAACAGCTGGTTGTCCAGTACTCCCTGATGGTTTTCAATGATTCTGTAACTGGCATCAATCCCTGGTCAAACACGAAAAGGTGAATGTGTTTTTGGCGCGAAATTATATACTCACCCATTTCATCAATAGATAATTGTATGTTGTATGAGAGAGTTCGGAATCAGTAGTCAGTTCTTTTCTGACTGCATGAAGCACTATTTTATGTCAAAACTAACCGTTTAAACACCGTACTCCAATAGATACTTAAAACCTTAAGTTATCTCATGTGGCGTTATCGGTAAATACAGGCTTACTTAAATTTCTAAAAAATGTGTGAAAATTCTAAGTAGTATATCAGGAAAACCTACATAATGAAATGAAGCAGATAGGAGAAACATTGGTGTTCAATAACTATCTCACACAAATTCATTAGGAAGTTGGGAAAAGCAGTGCAATTATTAACCGCAACATAAATGAGAAGGCATTTAAGGCATCCACAGTTTTACCATATAAAGAGAGGACATCTGAAAGCCAAAGTATGATTCTCAAGAAAGCAGGAATTCGGATGGTATTTTAACCCTCAGAAGTAAGACAAGGCTGCCTACTATCGCCAATGATTTTCCTGATTGCAGTAGATTGAATAATGCGACAAACAGCGGGCAATGAGGAAACAGGCATAAAATGGACTCAAACAAAATACTTGGAGGATCTGGACTTCGCCGATGATATATGTCTGATTTCCCACAAACTGGAAGATATGCAAGCGAAAAGCAACAAGTTGGCAGAAGAAGCACCAAAGATAGGACTTCAGGTGAACATAGAGAAAACAGAGGTGGTGAAGATTCCTGGGCATCACCACCAACAGCAACAACAACAGACATCAATCAGTATAGATGGGAGGAACCTGAAATAAACAACCTCCTTCATCTACCTACCTGGGAAGTATCGTTTCAACTACAGCCCGACGGAAGTGACGAGGATATCAAAGCAAGGATCGGAAAGGCAAGACAAGCTTTCACTACTCTCAAGTCTGTGTGGAGGTCAACAACACTCAGCATCAAAAATAAGATCCGGATTTTCAACCCCAATGTGAAGTCAGTGATAATTAGTATACGGATCAAAGACTTGGCGCGTCATAAAGAGCATCTCAAACAAACTACAGACCTTCATTAACAGTTGTCTTCGCTCAATACTCAAGATCAGATGGCCGGTCGGAAAAGATCAGTAACAGGGATCTCTGGGAGCGAAACAACCAGGAACCAATTGTGAAACAAATAGGCAGGAAGAAATGAAGATGGATTGGCCATACTCTGAGGAAACCATCAAGTGACATCACTAGACAAGCCATTGCTCGAAAGGAACCCGAAAGGGAAGCGGCGAGTTGGTCGTCAGTGCAAGGGTGACCTGGAGGAGGTTATGTGAAGAGGAGATGAAAGCATGTGGGCAGACGTGGAGCCAGGTGAAAACGTTGACAGAGAACCGAACGCAATGGAGACGCACGGCTGAAGTCCTATTTTCCTTTAGAAATTAAAGGAAATAATAATGAACAAGATAATTTAATCTTCAAAATACCTCGAAATGACTGTGACGTCAACTACATAAGTCAAACGAGTAAATCGGAGGCAGTTAGGTTATCAGAGCATTGGAATTTAGCTGAACATATCATAATTGACCCCAGAGAGACGAATAGCTTGCTGAAAAACTCAGCAAATGCACTGTATTCGTTAGCAATACTGTGGAAGAGTTTGGTCACAGAGTTTTTATTCATCAAATCTAAACCTAACATATAAATTAGGGATGACGCAACGCCAATATCAGAGATATGGAAAATATTATTGCCAATAAAATCAAAGGAGATGAGATGATATTTCATGATGTAGTTGACTGGTATACTTTCGTGGTGAAGACGCAAACCCTGCAGTCAGTTGTATCTCGTCAAGCCTATGATGTTTCATTCTAAGGGGTGACTTCATCTAGGTAGTTGTCTCTGTGTACGCCAGCAGAGATACTCAGCTGATTACAGGATTTCATAATGAGCGGACATCCGTTAGAGAACCATTAGAAACCCAGATGGGAGTATTGGACAGCTGGTTCTCTGATCGATGTCAGCTTATGATGAGATCCTGTAACCATTCAATCAAAATCCATACAAACCGATATTTGAATATCAATGAGATGCTCACTAGCGACTGGTCCTATTCAGGTAGGTAGTCATCTGGGGTTCTAGTGGGAAGTCGTGACCAGTGGGGCACAGCTGGTGGTCGGGTGTGAGGGCGAATACTCGCCACAGATGACATTGGCAAGTGCCAGTTGCGCTATATCCTGAATTGGCAGAAGTTAGAATTCATGGGCCATTGGATCGGGTCCCAGTGGCTTAAAGGTGTACGAGCTCGCCTTGTAACCAGAAGGTCCTGGGTTCGAACCCAAGCGGTCGGTGCATACTGCTGAAGGGTCCCAAACTAGGACGAAACAGGTGTCCAGTACTCCCAGGTTTTCCAATGGTTCTCTAACTTATGTCAGCTCATGATGAAAATCCTGTAACCATTCAAATCCCTACAAACCAACACTTGAAATACAAAATTAATGGCCACTAGATGGCAATCCTGAAATTCTAATGACAGAATTCATGACAGATGAGATCAATTATTTCGAGTATGAAGCGAATGCTCACTGATTCACGTATATGAGTGAATGTGAACACTCACTTGTTTGACAAATGCATATTTGGACATGATTATACTGTACTGATGACTACTGTTCAGTCAAGTTCACTATCTGTGATTCTCTAGATTACTTTTATGTCGGTTATGACGTAATAATGTTACTGATTTGTCCGTTCAAATTTAGTACTGATCACCGATTACTTCTGACTTTCCCCACAGGCGTTGAAAATAAAGACAAAAGACAGATTGGTCCGTGTCAATGAAAAAACAATTCGACGTTTATTATACAAAAATACATTATATACAGTTATTATGTAACTCGGAAAGTTGAGCCAACAAATAACCAATTATATTCGTCGTGTAAGGTCAGACTTCCAGATTGTCCAATAGCATTGTAGCAAATATTCTGCCTTCATTCAATGGTGAAAAAAATTTATCCAAAACTGGTTTAAGCCAGTCTAAAACTGTTTTAGCTAGTTTAGCCACATCATCTCAATAGCTTTTTGCCATCAAAATCATTAATAAGTTCACTAAGAATAGCTATGATTAATAAGTGTAATTTGGGTAAGGATATAAAATCGATTGAATTGTTATTGATTTCTTCTTTCTTTTTAAATGAATAAAACTTTTTGAAGAGTTGAAATATTCAGTTTTGATTTTAGAAATTATCATTAATCACTTTTTTAATAAATTTTTTGTGTGTAGCAACACTAGAAAATACAAACCAACCATTTCCAGCTATTGAAGTAATTCCGATAACCTGTCCGTCTTCATTGAATATTGGTCCTCCACTGTCACCAACATCTGGTCCTTGTTCATTTGAATTTATATTAGCGCAAAGTGCACCTTCTGTTGGTATATTTATATTTGTTGGACATTCAGAAAGTTTGATAATACCTGATGGTGTAGAAGTAAAACTAAGGTTACTTAAAGGATATGACCAAAGCAAGTTCATGCTTAATAGTTTCGAAAAATTTGGTCAGTATATTATTGTTCCCTTGGGTTCCGAGTGGAAAATACCACTTCAACAACACATCTTCACTCTCTTCTATTTTCTCCTCTCCCCTTCACCTGGGTATCAGAAGAGTACTCAACAAGCTCAACATCAGAGTTTTCTTCAAAACATCAGACACACTGTGAAACAACCTTGTCCATAAAAAGACCTAATCCCTAAAGATTCTCTATCTAATTGTGTGTCTACAAAATAAAATGCTTGGAATGTGATGCGATATACATCGGACAAACATCTCGAGAAATCAAAATCAGAAGAAATGAACACCGTAGAGCTGCTACTATTCAACCACCGAGAAATTCAGTTGAACTAGAAAAGCTCGTCTACACGTTATAGAATCAGGTCACAAAATTGATTTTGACAATATTGAAATCATTATCGAGAAAGATTTCAAAATCCCAAAGAACATCTCATGTCATCAGGAGGACTTCAAATTAAAAGGAATCCAGATTGTCTGAATAGGAATGACAGAATTTGACCTGGTTCCAAAACCCCCCTCAAATGAAGTGACAAAATCAAGATGATAAGCAATTTCATTATGTAAACACACACTGCTTTTATAATTTTACACACTTATCGTATCTAACAAATTACACCTGGGTTTGTTATCTTTACCAACTGACCTACTTGACAACGCAAAAATGACCTAATACTGAAGAACGATAATTAAGCTGCCCACTGTGTATAAGTTGATATTTTATAAATTCTTGTTTGATAATACTTTGATAAAGCTATCAGCATTAAATAGTGGGACATCATTAAAAACAATATCGTTTTATTTTTCATTCATTGGGAAACACAAAACAACTTGCAGGTGAAAACCATCTGACTGCCTGGAGAAGCAGCAAAGATAGGACTACAGGTGAACATAGAGAGCACGGGGGTAATGAAGATATCCAACCAACGGCAACAACGACTATCACCATTTACCATCAATGGAAAAGATTTGACAGAGGTCACCTCCTTCATTTAGCTAGCAAGCACGGTTTCAACCACAGGCAGTCAAAACGAATGAAGATTTCAAAGCAAGCCAACCAGAATCGAAAAGGTAAAATACACCACCATCAACCTGAAACCAGTTTGCAAATCTTCTGCACTAACTCAGCAGCATAAACAACAAGATTCGAATTTTCAATACAAGTGTAAATGAAGTCAAACAGTTCTTTTGTATAAGTCAGAGGCTTTCAATGCTCGTCGCGAAAAGGATATCCAACAAGTTATAGACTTTTATCAACGGCTGCCACCTTCCCTGTCTGGCTGGCTAGCTGATTCCATACTGAAGATCAAATGGCCAGTCAGCAGGCCGATCAGAAAGAATTAGCAACAAGAAACTCTGACTGGCTGGGAGCAAACCAACAAGCGAGAGCCAATTGCTAAAAGAATGTGTAGGAGAAAATGGAGATGGATGGATTAGGCATACTTGGGGAGACTGTCGAATGACATTGCGCTCAATGCAGGCCATCGCTGGAGTGGAAGTGGAATGGGAAGCAGTGACAAGTGGGCCGTCGATGAGAGGGTGACATGGAGGAGATCGTTTGGTGAGGAGGAGGAGATGAGAGATTATGGACAATCAATGACCCAGGTAAAGAGGAGTGCATAAAATAAAATAAAATGCAGATGTGTTGTTGAAGCCTTTTCTTCCACTAGGAATCCAAGGGAATAATAATAATGTAATATGTAATGCTCAAATTTTTTCAAAACTGTTAAATGTGAACTTGGTTCGAACATAAATATGTGGTTACTTGGAATTACATTTTCGTCTTGAACCAAAACTTACTAAAAAATATAAAATAACAAGTAGGTTTGAATGATTCAGAGGATATCAGTCGCTTTTGTGTCACGTAAATGTTTCGTCAACAGCTGGCAACAGTTCAAAGTGAACTGAGGTGTGATTCGTGGATTGGTAATCGCGTTACATACTTGACTGATAGAATTAATTCATGAATAATTCCCATTCGGACATTAGTAGACAAAAGACAAGTAGTTCAGCAAAGAGTCTCTTTTCGGGATCTCCACTGGGCCCATTACTGGCAGACTGCTTCATGGCAAGCCTTGAGAACGGTCCACTCAAATCAACCATCGACAATCTCCAGTTGTACGTTAGATATGTTGACGACATCTTTATCATCTGTGATGACGATCACAATCTCAATCAACTACTACGAATATTCAACAAATACCATCCAGCCACAAAGTTCACTTTGGAAACTGAAAACGAATCTAAAATCCATTTTCTTGACGTTGAGCTTACAAGCAGAGATGACGGAACTTTAAGAAGATCAATCTATAGGAAACCGACTTGGAACGGACAATTAAAAAGTTTCTACAGCTGGGTACCAATCAGTCGGAAAAGAAACCTAATTAAATCCCTTGCCACTCGCGTCAGACGCATCTGCAGCTCCGACACCATGGAAGAAGAACTAAACTTCCTGAGGGAAATCTTCATACAAAATGGCTACCCACCAAGATTTGTAGACAAAAACATCAAACAGAAAAACCAAAAGCAAGAGACACCATCCGTGCCAGAAAAGATACTTTATATGAACCTAGACTTCAAAGGAGACCTACTCAGTGGCGTCCTTAGGAGGAGAATCTCCACCGCTTTAAGAACAACTTTCTTTGCGGCAACATTGAGAGTAGTCTTCTCCAGTCGCCCGCTGATCTGCAGGAGCCCAAAAGACAAGATCCCGTACCTGACCACTTCTATGTGCATATATCAGTTCACTTGTTGCTGTGGAGCAAGGTACATCGGTCGTTCAACGTGTATCCTGCCAAAAATGGTCAAATAACACTATCCAGCGTGGCTACAGAAAGGAAGTAATGGCTGCATAAGGAGTGCAATAATAGAACACCTCGTCAACACCGGTCATTCCATCTCAACAAACGCCTCCTTCAAAGTAATCTACAAAGTGAAGAACAACCTTCCAAAGACAGTACGATTCCGTCTTCTTTGCATCACAGAAGCCCTAGCCATCCAGTTGGTGGAACCAGAACTATGCATACAAAAGAAAATTATTCAACCACTTCTACTCCCATGGTTACAACTGTGTTGATTTGACTTAACTTTTCTTTTTTTGTTTGTTTGATTTGACTTAACTTTTGTTTGTATGCTTATTTTTCTACTTAAAACCCTTGTGTAATTCCGTATATTTTGTTTCCATGTACACCCTGAGTACAACTCTTTCATTAAACTATTCATGTTATTACGCAACTCTTCTTTGACAATCGTTTGTGAAAACTCATCACTTTTATTACTACTCTCTTATATCAACATCCAATTCATCTGAACTTACTAACCCTTTTTTTGACAAATTTAATGTATACACACACACACAAAATAACCATATATATTTGCGACTGTACAGCTTTGAAAATGAATTCGCCGAAAAGAGACTCTTTGCTGATAGAATTAAGTTAGGAATAATGACTAGACACATGATATTGTCCATTACAGTCCCAAAAGAGGTTAGTGGGCATCTCACTTACTCAGTTGTCGCCTCTGTGATTACGGTTTTCAGACATTAAGGGAGGTGTCGGTGGCTGAGAGGTAGAATGCTCACCGACCATGCAAATCAGCTACCGATGCTCTTCTAAACCTCTCTCCACTGGTAATAAGGCCAGTAAATAGGGGAGGTTGGGGAAGGGGCTAGCCACTCCACTTAGTAAAAATAAATGCCTATGCTATCGAAACTTCAAAGTCCCAGTTTGAAGCCCTATGTTCCACTTGGGACATAAAAGAATAAAAAGGAAGGAACCAGTTCCTGTGTAGTTGCAGACGATTCTCAGTAACCATAACATTTAGGTTGGAGAAGGTTCTTCTCTGACTACCTCCAATCATCTAGTAATAACAAGCAATCTTAAACCTCTCTACTGTCTCACACAAATGCTGTCATCCATTGTAACAGACATGTTAAAACTCAACTAGTGGTTTGGAGTCTGAAGGTCCATAGTTTATAGACAATGCAGCATGTTGACATCACTTTTTCTGGTGACTAGTTAGTTATCTTGAAATTCAACCTACTGGATGTCGATAATAATAATTACAAAATCTATCAGGAACTTCCAGAATTTCTTCTCTGATTGTTTGACAGAAATCAGAAACTGGAATTTAATCCAACTCAGTGAATTCATAACTACATTCTCTCTTCGGATACTTACAGCCGATTGTTCTAGACCATCTGTACTATATTTTCTCACTTATTTTGCAATCTACGTAGCCCGGGGTTCGATCCTCGGCCACGGACGCACTCCTTTACCTAGCTAAGCCAGTAATAAGACTGGCAAAGAGGAAAGGTTGGGCATGCGGCTAGCAACCCCATCCTGTAAAAATAAGCACTACTTCTACCGAAACTTCAAGCCTCTAACTTGAAGGCCTATGTTCCACTGGGAACCTAAAGGAGAAGGCTGTCTACTATCACTAACGATGATATTCCTGACTGTGGTGGACGGTGAATTATTCAACGGCCTTTAGAGACCGAGAAGACTGATATACGATGGAGTGACAAAGCGAACGAAGAAGATTTATAGTCTCTGGGTCATTTATATCTATCTAATGTTTCACAAACTCGAAGACCGACAGGTAAAAATCAATAAATTGGCAGTAGAGGTAAGGTAGACATGACTCCAAGTGGGCATAGCGAAGACAGAGGTGATGATCAACTAGAACAAGCACCAATCAATTGAGGGAAATCTAAAGGGAGTCTTCCCTTTCACTTCCAAATACATGGACAGCAGCATCGTTTCAGCTACTCTGAAATCATCACTTAAGATAAAGGACAACAACGGAATTTTCCACACTAATGTGAAGTTAGTGATCCTATATGGTTAAAGAACTTGTCGCGATCGTCACTAAATCACCTTCAGTCTAGTACAGACTTTCATCAACGCCTGACTTTGTTAACTCTATTCTGAAGATTAGATTGGTGCCAGGTAGGAATTAACAACAAGAAACTCTGAGTTTGTAGCAAACCAACGAAGAACCTATCGCCCAACAAATAAACAGAAAGAAATGGAGATAGATTGGGCACATACTGAGGAGACCGTTTATTGACAAAAACCACATGCCAAAGAAAGAGGCTATCGAGTGGGACCTAAATGTAAAATGGTGATTTGTGCATGGATCCGAGGGTAACAAGAAGCAGATCCTGTGAGGATTAAATGGAAAGTTTTATACAGTTATATAACCTGGGATTACTGGACAGTCAGCTGTTTCGTCCTAGTTTGGGACTCTTTACCAGTACACACCCTACAAGCCAATACTTGAATACCGATGAGAGGCTCACTAGCGACTGGTCCTATTCAGGTAGGTAGTCACCTGAGGTTCTAGTGGGATGTTGTGACCGGTGGGGTACAGCTTGTGGTTGGGTGTGAGGAAAAATACTCTCCACGGACGACAATGATTAGTGCCGGTTGCACTATATCGTGCATGAAGTTGGAATTCATGGACTGGCCTTTGGGTCGGTTCCCAGTGGCTTAATACTTTGCGAGCAAGCTTGCTTTGAGTTGCGTCGGTGGCATAGCGGTTAGGACGCTCGCCGACCTTGCACATGGTCCGGGGTTCGATCCCCGGCCGACGCACTTCTTCACCTCGCTAAGCCAGAAATAATGCTGGTAAAAAGGAAAGGTTGGGCATGAGGCTAGCAACCCCATCCTGTAAAATAAACACTGCTACAGAAACTTCAAGCCACTAGCCTGAAGCCCTATGTTCCACTGGGGAACGTGAAGGATAAAAAAAAGCTTGCTTTGTAACCAGAAGGTACTCTGTTCGAACCCTGGCAGTGGGTGCGTACTGCTGAAGAGTTATGCAACCAGCTGGAAACGATTGCAGAGGACAGAATGAAATAGAGATGAGCTGCCAAGGTCCTCTGTTCAACTAGCAATCAGATGGAATAGTAACACGAATAGAAATAGTAATAATAATACTAATAGCAATAATAATAATCTAAAAGGCATTGAATTCATTCACCCTACTGAAAAGTTGAAGAATAAAGAAACACTAGGCTATCGCGTTTCATTTCTTCTTGTGACTTACCAAAGCGAAGTTGACCAGTTCTATCGTTTTCTCCATCTTCACCATATCCTAAAATGACCACATCAGTAGTATTTTTCTCTCCTGAGAAAGCTGGCTTTTCATATCCTAGACTGCCTATTTCCACATACCCCTTCTCTAGACTAAATGGCTGGTCTACAATAAAAATTGAAATATCCGGAGAACCACCAAGTCGATCTTGATTTTCTGTTAAACCGAGATTTATAGCATGACACTGATTTCTATATGCTAGTGGATAGGCAACCCTATCAGCTTCACGATGTTGTGCGTAACTTGAATGTCGACCGTTGAGATCTGTTACATTTGCGTAGACCTAAGGAAGATATAATAGAAGAACACAGAGAAAATGACATTAATTAAAAAAATTAATGAATAATTAGATCAATTGATAACTCAAGTATTTATTAATTTAATGAAAACAAAACACGTATTAGTTCAGCAAAGAGTCTCTTTTCGAAGAGAAATTTATTTTCTTAGCTGTACAATCGCAAATATATATACGGGTTATTTTGTATATATGTGTACATTTTGTCAAACAAAATTACAACTCAAGTGTTGGTTTGTAGGTATTTGATTGGTTGGTTACAGGATTTCATCATGAGCTGACATCAGTTAGAGAACCATTGGAAAAACTGGGAGTACTGAACAGCTGTTTCGTCGGACTAGTTTGGGACTCTTCAGCAGTACGCACCCACTGGGATTCGAACTCAGGACCTCCTGGTTACAAGGCGAGCTCGTATACCATTAAGCCACTGGGACCCGATCCAATGGCCAGCCCATGAATTCTAACTTCTGCCGGTTCACGACATAGCGCGACCCCTAGCCAATGTCTTCGGCGAGTATTTGTCCTCACACCCGACCTGCTAGACCCTACTGGTCACGATTGGTTGGTTATAATTGGTTATGGTTATTTTAACCAAACAGGTGAAGATTGGTAATTGGAGTTACATAATACAAAATCAGTCAAAAAATTAGGTGTTAATTAAATTAGGGTAGTAACAAAGGTGATGAGTTGCCACAAACAGTTATTAAAAGGAATTACTTAATAAAATGAATAGTTTGATGATTGAGTTTTACTCAGGATACACATAGGAACAAAGTAGAGAATACGAAATTATGTAAGAGCTGTAAATGAATGCAAGAATTATAAGCAATTAAAGAAACAGGCTCGCCGACCACGCACATGGTCTGGGGTTCGATCCCCGGCCGATGCACTCCTTTACTTCGCTAAGCCAGAAATAATGCTGGTGAAGAGGAAAGGTTGGGCATGAGGCTGTAAAATAAACACTGCTGCAGAAACTTCAAGTCATTAGCTTGAAGCCCTATGTTCCACTGGGGAACGTGAAGGAAAAAAAAGAAACAGGCAAACAAACAAAATTAAGTCATCAAAAATCAACAAAGTTGTTACCATGACAGTAGAAGTGGTTGAATAATTAATTCTCCTTTGTATGCACAGCTCCGATCTTTTCTATGTGAATGGCCAGAGCTTCAGCGATACAAAGAAGACGAAACCGTATTGCCTTTGGTAGGTTATTCTTGACTCTGTTGATTACTTTGAAGCAGGAGGCGTTTGGTGAGATGGTGAGATGGACTGATCAGTGTTAACCAAGTGTTCAATTATTACACTTCTTACAACACCACTATTGCCTTTTCGCAACCATGTTGGATAGTGTTCTTGAATCCTCTTGGACAGAGTGCGCGCGTCGAACGACCGATGTACCTGGCTGGCTCCACAGCAACAGGTGAACTGATATATGTACACAGAAGTGGTCAGATGCGGGATCTTTTCCTTGAGGCTTCTGCAGATCTTATTTATTAATTTAACTATTTTTGTTATTATTATTATCATGCCTTTGAGTTCTGAGTGGAACATAGGGCTTCAGCAACACTTCTCCACTTTGTTCTTTCCTCTATGGTCCTCTTTGGCTTACCCACTTACTGTCTATGCGTCGATCGAAAGGTGATTTGGAAACTACTTCACTACTACTAGGAAGGGGTGCCGTCAACAATTATACATCTCATCCAGCAGTTGTACGACAATGCTGCATGCCAAGTAATCCACAAAAGGGAAACTCACGGAATCCTTCGAAGAAGTGAAGACGGGAGTAATACAAGCTTGCTGGCTGCCTACTATCTCCAGTGATTTTCCTGATTGCAGTAGACTGGACAGTGCAACAGACAGACGGTGGTGGGCAGCGAGGAGACAGGCATAAAATGGACCCAAACAAAAAACTTGTAGGATTTGGACTTCGCCGATGATATATATGTCTGATTTCTCACATACTGGAAGATATGCAAGTGAAAAGCAGCAACAAGTTGGCGATGGAAGAAACACTAGAGATAGGACATCAGGTGAACATAGAGATAATACCACTGTCACCGAAACTTCAGGCCTACACTGGGGACGTAAAGGAATAAAGAAATCTCTCTGCACATAACATTGATTACTTCTCATTAACCAATCCACAGAACTATTACAGTTTCACAGAAAATAGGTCGTTGAACTAAACAGCTCAGTAGTAACGTCGGTGACTACAGTACTGATTTCTAATCTCAGATTACTGATAAGTGCCAATGAGCACAAAACTTCAATCAGATAAATCTTCTTGTCATACAAAATTAGTTGTAAGAGTGTGCGTGTTTATCTGTGTGACCTACATTTAATCTCAACTGTAAACTGTGAGGTCACACGTTCACAAAGCGATCACTTAAAACGTCTATACAAGCAATAATCATACAATCAAGCGTATCGAAAGTCACTAGAAGTTACAACAAATTGATTACGAGAAAGTTAAAACCGCTTACAACTATTTACTGACTATACTGTCTTGTGTGATACACAGACAACCGGATTATAGAGTAGCGAAATAATTTCGTCAACTGTTCACAGTGAAAATAACAATAACAGTTGAAATGGCAAGGGATAGATATACAAGTTGAATAAACAAGGGCCAAGGCAGAAGTAGAAATTGCAGTGGTTTAGTATAGACGAATTAAGATCATGAAAGGAGTGGTTCAACAAAATTTTTCTGTATACAAGCCTCTGACTGTTCGGATTCACTTCTTAAAGACAGATCTTACAGTCCCTGAGGAAGGAAATTCACTGAAGCTTTGTTGATAACAGTGTTTTTTAGTCAAGCATTGCTTTACAATAGTCTGGAGGACAAGATGCTGAAATTGACCAACTTCATGTGTGTTTACCAGACCACCTGCTTCTGTAGAGTTAGGTATGTCAGTCAGTCGAAAAGGGTTTTTCTTACCGCAAAAGTGCAAGAATACCATCCTGTGTGATTACGAGAAGGTGGAAGAAGAGCAATAATTAAACATCTGCTTGATATTGATCTGATTTCCCACAAACTGGAAGATATGCAAGTGGAAAGCAACAAGTTGACGATACAAGAAGCATCAAAGATAGGACAAAAATAGGTGAACATAGAGAAAACAGAGGTGATGAAGATTCCTGGCCAACAGTAACAGCAACAACAACAGGCAGCAATCAACATAAATGGGGAAGAACTGAAAGAAGCAACCTCCTTTGCCTACCTACCTACCTGGGAAGCATCGTTTCAACTACAGGCGGACGGAATTCACGAGGAAGGATATGAAAGTGCAGACCCGGAAAGCAAGGCAAGCTTTCATTAATCTCAAGTCTTTGTCGAGATAAACAGCAATCAGCATGAAAATGAAAAATAAGAACCGGATTTTCAACTCCAATGCGAAGCCAATGATACTTACTATACGAATCGGAGACTTGGCGCGTCATGAAGAGCACCTCAAACAAACTACAGACTTTCATCAACAGCTGTCTTTGATCAATATTACTCAAGATCAGATGGCCTGCCAGGAAAGATCAGCAACAGGGAGGGATCTCTGGCAATGAACGAACCAACCAACCCATCAGGAACCAAATGTGCAAAAAATATGGAGGAAGAAATGTAAGTAGTGGATTATCCATACTCTGAGAAAACAAACCATCATCAAGTGACATGCATCACACGCCAGGATATCGCTCGATTGGAACCCGAACAGAAAGTGGCAAGTTAGTTGGTCATCAGTGCGAGAGTGACATGAAGGAGGTGATGAAAACATGTGGACAGACGTGGAGCCAGGTGATTAAAACGTTGGTAGAGAACCGAACGCAATGGAGATGTGTGGCTGAAGCCCCATGTTCCTCTAGAAACTAAAGCAGACAGTAATAATAATAATAATTGATATTGGTCAACATATCTCTACAACTCCCTCCTTTAGAGTTGTGTATAACACGAAATGAGTAATCTATCTAACTCATTAGGTGTCTGACTCATCTCTTTATCTGGAGTTATGGTCATCGGAATAGAAAGACCAGAGTTCTGTATATAGAGTGTAATCTTATCATAATTCTGACCTTGTTGCGTGATGTTTCAGTTTTCTACTAATCCTATTAATTAATTCTACATCGCCCTTTTAAGTTCATGACCTATTTTTTGTCTCATGTTGTTTAACAGTGATTATAATTTTGAATAAAAACAACTCAAAAACTCAAAAATAAAATTTTTGTCTATCTACAATTATTTATTTGATAATCAATTTTCATTTGCAAAATTTATGATCATTATTATTGATATTGTTGGGTGCATATTAGCGGCAGTGCGACAGAGAACGCGTAATTCACCAACTGATATCGATTTATTGGACTTAGTGAGACAGATGGTGCTGTAGTTGTGTTCTCTGAGCTAGCTGGTTAGTTAATTTGCGAAGCTTTCATTGCCCCACCACTAGGCAACATCTTCAGCGCATACTTCAAATCGTTGATGTGAGCTTTTAAATTTCTCCATGAGTTTATTAGTCATCTCTCCAGGTGGGTGACCTTGAACGTGATTGGTTGTTTTTGTGTGTATTCACACCTTCTAGGCTACTTGTATTGGTATTGGTGTTGATTGTTTCCTTGACTTGAACTTTGACCCTTTGTGAGTGAGATTTCCTTCTTGTCGGTTGGTAAATTTTGTCTATCTCGATGTATCTATTGATTGACGATTCACTGGAATACCAGACAGGCTTCTAAAAATTCTCCAGCATTCTTGGTGTTTCCTCTGTCTAACATTTGAACGTTGGTTGTCTCAGTCGAACTGATGTCCGTAAGGCAGTGGATGTCATTTCTTTTGACGGCTAGTTTATTTTCATAGATACGAAGACGAAGAGGACGTTCACTTTTGCCAATGTAGTGTTTTCCGCAGTTGTTACAATTTATTTTGTATATGATGTTGTTTCTATCTTCTTTCGTTGCTGAGTCTTTTGTTTGACACATAGCCAGCTGAGTGAAGTGATTTTGTTGCA